CATCACCAACAATTAACTTACAGTCTTTCTGAAGACTACCAAAGGTGGCTGTGCATTGGCGTCTAATCACTGCACACCACGCCACCCGGCTAGCTCAGTTGGTAAGAGCGTCGGTCTGTTGTGCGGGAGGTCATGGTTCAAGCCTCAGCCGGACCAACACTCAGGGTCCTAAAATAACTGAGGAGAAGGTGCTGCCTTTGTAATTATATCTGCAAATGGTTAGAGTTCAAGTCTTCTTGGACAAGGACTTAAAACCGTAGGCCCCGTCTGTCTTCACTAGATAACCCTATATGAGGCGAACGTGAAAGATCCACTGAAGACACTGGTGACGACCATCTTCAGTGCCCGTGCTAACCGGCTGCCTTATCAATTGGTTTGCAAGGCCTTTTATCAAGCCGTCCACCCAGGAGTGGTAAACGTATTAGACCAAGGAAATTGGGCTCCATTACTTGACTGAGCATCGCAGAGTTGGTAGTYCTCCCTGGATTTAAGGAATTTTCTCCGGGTTTTCCAGTTTAACTCACGCTACGAAACCAAACAAGCTAATTTCCAACAATTCGAGTCAGCCGTGCCGTGACTTATATCAACCCAGAGGTTGTTTCAGGGTTTGATCTGTCAGTTAGCCATGTCCTGACTTATATCAGCCCAGAGGTTGTTTCAGGGTTCAACCTGTGAGTTAGCCATGCCCTAACTTATATCAGCCCAGAGGTTGTTTCAGGGTTCAACCTGTGAGTTAGCCATGCCCTAACTTATATCAGCCCAGGGGTTGTTTCAGGGTTCAATATGTGAGTTAGCCATGCCCGGCCCTGACTTAGATCAGCCCAGAGGTTGTTTCAGGGTTTGATCTATGAGTTAGCCATGCCCTAACTTATATCAGCCCAGAGGTTGTTTCAGGGTTCAACCTTTGAGTTAGCCATGCCCTGACTTATATCAGCCCAGAGGTTGTTTCAGGGTTCAACCTGTGAGTTAGCCATGCCCTAACTTATGTCAGCCCAGAGGTTGTTTCAGGGTTCAATGTGTGAGTTAGCCATGCCCTGACTTAGATCAGCCCAGATGTTGTTTCAGGGTTCAACCTGTGAGTTAGCCATGCCCTAACTTAGATCAGCCCAGAGGTTGTTTCAGGGTTCAATGTGTGAGTTAGCCATGCCCTGATTTAGATCAGCCCAGGGGTTGTTTCAGTGTTCTATCTGTGAGTTAGCCATGCCCTGACTTAGATCAGACCAGAGGTTGTTTCTTTTTTCTATCTGTGAGTAAGCCATGACCTGACTTAGATCAGCCCAGAGGTTGTTTCAGGGTTCATGCAATCTATGAGTTAGCCGTGCCCTGACTTAGCTACGCCCAGAAGTTGTTACTGGATCCGATTTGTGAGTTGGCCATGCCCTGAATTGACCAAATTGAAGGTTTTCTCAAACACGACAGTATGTCAACATTTATGTTTTTGGTTGCAGGATTGGGCGTCGAAAAAGCGTCTGTTATTATATGCTGTTAGCTGGAGTCGCAAGCATAGGCTGCTTATTTGCACAAACTGGTAGGTGGCTCAAAGAATCCTTCATTTTTCTAACCATTACACGTTTGCCTCAATACAATCGTCTTACATATTATGAAAGAATTCAATTCCCATCAAAGTCATCCTTTTAGTTGTTTTTAATGGGGCACTTGGATGAAAAATGGATAAAAATTGGAAATGACTTTAAACTTAGCTAAACGTATCTATATGGSCCCAATAGTAGCCAAGCAACATATTTTCTTCACAGTAAAATGTGTCGGATAAAATTTATCAATTTYATGCARCATATAAATTGGAAGTAAATGACGTCATTTACTCAACCCTATTGTTCTTTTCTCTTTTAACCCCAAATTTCTCAATTGCAAGTGGCTCCCAGGCGAACATTTTCACTAATCTGGTTTACATAATCATAATTGAGTCATATTATCCACAAATACTTCAATTATTCGGAATTTGAAAAATTGGGGCGTTTTCATCCAAGTGCCCCTTTAATGGCATTTGCTAATTTTTTTTTTCTTCTCAGAAAAAACTGGTGTTAGTCAAACACTAACAGTTGTATTTGCGATGATTGGCAAGTTTGRTATCTCTGCTTCGTTTGCTGTTATATATATTTACTCGGCAGAGCTGCTTCCTACAGTCGTCAGGTATCTTTTCTTTTCTTCCACCGCCCATTCTTTATAACTAAAACCCCGTTCACATCAGACCTTTCAACATACTAAGAGTTGTTTAGTTTAACTAGTGGCCTTTCGAACCACGCGCACGGCTAACTAGTCCCGTTTCAAATCTAAACTATATCTCGGGGATGTAGTTTTAGATAAAGGTTCAAACGCTAGGACGAGGTTTTGCATTAGAATTCAAGACAGATCGAGAGCTGCAGGCCCGAGGTCTTGAATTCTAATGCAAAACCGAGCCCTTGCGTTTGAACTGGTTTAAAATATCAACTAAGCCCTTAATTCCATTGTTTCGATGCAAAACACGAAATACTAAATTATAATGAATTCAGAGGTAGATTACTTTTGTTTTGTCTTTTGTAAATAGAGTGCTTACAATATATCCGTGTAATTAAAAACCTATCCCGGGTTTATAATTCAGCTTCGCTCCCMMCTGTTGATATCAATTCCGCCCCCRGCTTTAAGAATCTGGGTTTTCCGAAGRATTTAAGAACCTACATCAAACAATGGATTTAAGGTGTGGTTGATTTTCAATCCTGTTTAAAGATGGCGACAAGCAACGAAGGACGTGAGATAGAGAAACAGATAACTAAACAACTGGTTAGTTGGTGTGAACGGAATATAAGAATATAATCCATTATCCCAAAGTTTTCTGTCATGGTTTTGTCGTGGTAATAATATACACCGATTCSAAATATGGTGACCCRTTTGAATAACTRTTGTTCTGTRCTGWCTAGCGACTGACTAGCCTCGTGTTCTTGTGGAAACATAAAAGCGTTTTCACATGTATGACAGGGCTAGTCCGCAGTCCAGAACGATAGKTATTCAAATTGATSGCCATATTTCGATTCGGTGTAGGAGAAAACATTTTCCCATGAATATTCACCAACGAAAAGGGGTTTTACCGTGTCATTGCAAATGTCAGAACACAGGCTATTTTATTATAATTTCTTTTGTTCTTTCTATTTRCTTAGAAATGTTGGGATGGGTGTGTGTTCGGTGTCATCAAGGATCGGAGGAATCTGTGCTCCATTTGTGGTTTATCTGGTAAGTGGCTTCTACTTTTCTTCTAATTGTCCTATTTTTTCTCTTATAGGGTACATAGTAACCACCCCTCATACTCACCACCCCTCCCCATGGTCCGATTCACCTCACTATAACACCCTATGTCATTTTTTCTCTTACAATGTACATACTAACCACCCCTTCCCATGTTCCGATTCACCTCACTATAACCCCCTGTGTCATTTTTTCTCTTACAGGGTACATACTCACCACCCCTCCCCTTGGTCCGATTCACCTCACCATAACCCCCTGTGTCATTTTTTTTCTCTTACAGGGTACATACTTACTTACCACCCCTCCCCATGGTCCGATTCATCTCACTATAACCCCCTGTGTCATCTTTTATCTTACAGGGTACATACTCACCACCCCTCCCCATGGTCGTATTTGGCATGTGTTCATTCAGCGCAGGCGTACTAAGCCTCATATTACCCGAGACATTAAACAAACCTTTACCAGAAACACTAGACGACAGTGGATACGAAGGCCTTAGAAACAACACCTTTGAACAGCTACGAATGAGTCATCTTGCTTATATTCGCGAGGAAGAAATATTTAAAGCCAATGAATCGGATTTTGATTACGACGACGAACTTGTCTCAGAGAAAACAACTTTTATCTGATAGAAGAGATTCACGAAATTATAATTGTCGAAACGTCGAGTAAACTTGTCGCCATAAATTTTATAATCAAATGTTTTGAAACGACGAAATGCTTAGAAGAGATATATTTAATAGAGTTTATCTCTGGGGAAGAATAGGCCCTCTAAGAAGATTTCCCCCAAGGACTGGAATACCGGCCTCCATTTTAGCTGATATGTTCAAAGGAGATCAAAGCGAGATCTTTTGACGCCATGTTGGATGATATGAAAAAATCTGGACTTGAACGCCATGTTGGATGATATTTAAAAAATCTGGACTTGGCCGCCATGTTGGATGAGTCAGTTGGATGCTATTTAAAAAATCTGGACTTGGCCGCCATGTTGGATGATATTTAAAAAATCTGGACTTGGCCGCCATGTTGGATGATATTTAAAAAATCTGGACTTGGCCGCCATGTTGGATGAGTCAGTTGGATGCTATTTAAAAAATCTGGACTTGGCCGCCATGTTGGATGATATTTAAAAAATCTGGACTTGGCCGCCATGTTGGATGAGTCAGTTGGATGCTATTTAAAAAATCTGGACTTGGCCGCCATGTTGGATGATATTTAAAAAATCTGGACTTGGCCGCCATGTTGGATGATATTTTAAAAATCTGGACTTAACCGCCATGTTGGATGATATTTAAAAAATCTGGACTTGGCCGCCATGTTGGAAAGTATCTGGACATAGTGGATAATATAGAAAAATCTTTCGTCGATTTGATCGCCATGTTGGATGATATAAAAAGTATTGATAAGCCGCCATCTTGGAAAATATGAATTTATTGAGAGGGCCGTCATGTTGGATAATATTTATTACGATGATATATTGTTTCCTTAAAACAGTAGAATCGTTACTTGCAAGAATGTAGAATCCAGATTAAAGAGGGAAATTATGCCAGTTTGCTAACACTARAAACAAATTGAAAACATAAAATAAAATACTAGAAGAATCAATGTTTTACTTCTTACTCTGAAGTAGTTGCTTGACAATAGGC